GACATTTTACCACTGGACCACACCCCTATCCCTTTTCATTTTTTATTTTGAGATAGCAAGGCCCTAAGCAACTTAGTGAGACCCTAAGTTGCTGAAGTTGACCTTGAACTTGGCAACCCTCCTGATTCATCCTCCCTAGTCACTGGGATTATAGGTATGCACAGCCTGGTGAGTCTTTAGCTTAGAGGGCCAGCTTGGCCAGCCTGTTGGTATTAACTTATCTTTCTGGTTCCTTGAACCCACAAATATTAAAGGGGCCTACCCACGACTTACTGGGCCATGTGCCCCTTGTCATGGCTGTGTGGTCCACCTCTAGCTGAGCCTTGCTGCTGTGTCTAGGCCCTGCCTTGGATGTACCCCTGGATGGGGTGAACAGTTGTTGTCCTTGAAGGGCCCACATAGCACTCCTTGATAATGCAGGGTATCAGGAGGAGACTCACAGGATGGTGTGTGACTTTGAAAGGCTGAGAATGTTCGCAGACCCTGCAGCCTCCCAGCAGCCTGAGCCAAGCCAGGGGCTGGCAGGTTGAGCTCCTACCTTCATGTAAGTGGCTCCAGGAGCTGGAGGCTAGGACACCTTAGGAGACTGAGGCCCTCTGTTCACCCCACAATGCTAATTGGATCACACCTCCACAGTATTTGTAAAACAGACCTGTTTCTCTTAAGAGGCCCAAGACTCAGGACCATTAGGGAAATGGACTCACTGCGTGTACTGGAGGTTCTAGGTAGAACCTACTGTCTCCATGTACCTGCCAGTCTCTGGGGCTCTAGGAGTCCTTCCTGTCTGCTCTCTGCCCTGACACAGGACACGGAGGTGCCTCTCCTAGGCTAGCAGAATCTGGGTTACTCTAGGACCTTCCCCTCCACCCAGTCCTGGCCCCATCATTTAGTGACTGTGCTGTCCTAACACTTACATATCCAATTCCTTGACTATCAGATTGGTGGACCTTACTGTGAGGAGCTCAGAATTAAGTGAACTTGTACAGGCAAAGTCCACACTCACAGTTAGGAGATGTAGCTTGGCTGCCAGCTAGTTCTCTGGCCTTAGACAAGTCCCACCTCTGTCCTGGGCCTCTTTTCTATAAAGGACATTGGAGGATGGTAAAACAACCTGTCAGAGCCACCCAGCAAACAGATGGCTGTTGGACTGATGTGGTTCCCTCCTAAGCTTCTATCTAGTAGGGCTGCTTGGCCATGACCTGGCCCAAAATTATGTAGTACCTATGACAGAAAACCCCCAAGGTCCATGTGGAGAGACCATCAAAGTGGAGCTGGGCCCAGAGGCTTGTTCCAGCCAAGCTGGCTTCCAGGCACACATATTTGGGACCCTCAAAAGCTTTCAGTAACTGCATTCCCAAAAGACCTATGGGGAAGTTATCCTACATAGGAAAACTGATCAGTGTGAGCAGCTTTGGGACTCCCTCCTTCTCTCACCTCTGCCACAGTCCTCTCCACCTGCCAGCCCCATCTGTCCAGACGTTAGGGGTGAAAGGTTCCTATCCGCACAGAGATCAGAATCCTCCAGCATGATCTGGTTTGTTTGTTTTGGTCTATTTCCTATGTAGTATTTTGCCTACATGGGTAACAGGTCAAAAAGACCGTGAAGTCCTTTTTCTCGAAACTTACCTATAGGTCTCTGGTCAAGAATGCTGGCTGGGAAGCCAGACAAGTCTGCCTGTTTGCGGCCTATCAAACTCAAGGCAGCAGAGCCCTTGCCTCCTGGTGGAGATAGGCTATAAGCCTATCATTTTCTTTACAGAAGCAGATGTTTCCCTGAGCACAGCTCTGTTTGCTCCTGAGGATGTGCCTGGCTGTGCCAGGGTCCTGCTACAATGCTGCAGACAATCTCAAGGGCACAGGCCAGGCACAGAGAATGTAGTGACAGAAAGCTACAAGCCGAATGCACATAGTAGGGACACAGAAGATGTGGGTGGCCCTTTGGGAAGTTGTAGGTTGCTGGCTCCTGGTCTGTTGCAAGCTCCCAGGAGTGCCAGTGGCTGAACTGGCCAGAGCCTGGCCAGCACCTGACAGGAGGTGGGAGGGAAGCTTCTTGTCCTGGGGAGGGAAGTACTGAGATTCATATTAGCCTGGTCAAGGTTGTGGTGTGATTTTCTGTCTGGTGACCTGTTGGCCTAGGCTGGATTCCCTGGTCTTAGGTGTTCCAAACTCCAGCTTCTGAGCTGCTCTTCCTCCCCAGGTTCAACAGCCCAGGGCCTCACTGAACAGCTTGCTGCTTAGGTTTTTATTGATCAGACTTATCACCCCAGCTCATTTGGGGACCAGTCAGAAGTCCAACAGGGAGCTTCTGAGGGAGGCACCTCAGGGGCCTCTTGGGGTGCGGGTGAGGGTGGGGGTCCCCAGACCTCCTCAGCAGTGAAGCAGACCCAGGTTTATGCATTGGCTTGGTGTGATGACTGCTGTTGTGCAGACCCCAGGTGAGTGCCAGCTGCTCTTGGGCACGTCAGATGAGGGAGTCGACCATTACTGACCTTCCTTGATGAGTGGCACATGGTTGTAAGGGACTTGCCCAGAGCCATGCTGCTCACTTTGTGAAAGCGCTCCCTGTGTCCAGAGAGAGGCGAGGATGGTGAAGGAGGAGGCATTCCCACATTGCCAAGAGCCGAGGAACTGACAGAAGGCCTTTTGCCCCCTCTTGGCAACCGGACCTCACCCTTGAACCATCCTCCTCCGTTCTTTTTATTTTTCTTTTTTTTGGGTGTTGGCTTCAAATTATCTTGTTTTGTTTACATTACACCCAAGTTTCATGGTACAAAAGACTTGCAGGTGCAAATATGTCCCGCCTTCATTAACTTCCCCTCCCTTTTTAATTTATGTGATTTCAATTTTCCTTCCCTGTACTGTTAATTAGGGGACCCTCTAATCAGTGCCATTATCACAGTGGTATTCATGTTTAGGAAAGCCGCTAAACAAATGCTTGCAAAATTGCTAAATGGCTAATTAATGTCTGTTAATTAAGAAAATTGCTCATGGTAACAAACCATGCCGTTGCTGGCAGCCGCTAGAAAGACACACACTTGTTGAAATTAGTAGCGTGGCAGGTAGGGGAACATCTGCTCCTCGGAGCTTTCCGGAAGTGAGCAGCCCCTGGATCAGCCAAGAAGCTCCCAGGCCTGTTGCCAGTGGTGCCCTCAGGTTCCTGTGCAATTCTCTGCATCTTGCTCTGCGCACCTCTTCTGCCTCCACACCCACCCTCTGGCCTGCGCTTTGCTCCTCCTTGGGACTGGGCTGAGTCCCCCTAGCAAGCAGAGCCTGGTGGCCCAGCTTTGAGGAAGAAGACTGGGAGTTAAAACTACCCTTGCATCCCCATGCAGAATTTGAACTTTTCTCAAAAAACTTCCAAAGCTAACGGCAATATCTGGGTGGAGATAAGTACATTGGGGTGTAGCTCCTTGTCCCAGCACCAGAGTCCAGCTCTGAGCCGCCTGGGTGGGCCAGAAAGTCCTTCACACTTTTAGACTGTGACCCACTATCAGTTTCCTCATAGTAGGAAACTCCTTGGGATTGTGTCCTAGTCTAAAACACTCTCTCACAACTCTTTCTCTCTCTCTCTCTCTCTCTCTCTCTCTCTCTCTCTCTCTCTCTCTCACACACACACACACACACTCACTCACTTACATACTTACATATACACATAAATAGAGAAATAGTTCAATCCCCAGTACCAGGGGTTGAACCCATGGGCGCTTAACCACTGAGCCACATCCCCAGCGCCCCACCCCCCTTAAATTATTTTTAGACAGTCTTGCAAATTTGCTGAGACTGGCTTTGAATTTGCGATCCTCCCACCGAAGCTGGGATTACAGGCACCCACTTAAGATACCTGCCTTAAAATACCCCACCCCCCCCCGCCCAGTTTCAGTTTTTTAAAAAATAATGGTTGCAACCCACTAAATCGATTTCACCGTCCAATGATTGGTGCAACCTGCAATTTGACCAACCCCATTGTTTAAGAGCATTTATCTCCCTATCTCTTCTGTATAGGGAGGTCAGCATAGCCAGGGCTCTGGGTCAGCTTGAAGCTGCAGGTGGCTCACCACCAACTGGTATGGAAAGACCCTCAATCCACTGACCTACCCAGTGGTCAGGAGTCTCCAAGCCCTCCCTCACAATCCCCTTGACCCTGGGCTGCAGGGATAAAGGTAGGCCTTAGATCATTGAGCTTCTCATTGTGGTGCTGCCACTTACCAGTTGTGTGGCCACGGCCAAGTGCCTTTATCCCTTGAGACTGTTTCCTCACCTGTAAAAATTAGAATGAGAGACTCCACTTTACAGGACCATTTTACAAACAAAAGAACCCAGCACTGCTTACCACTGAGTGGGCACTTGTTTGTTATTGCATTACCCCCATTGTTTCAGTCTATGGGGCCACTTTGTTCCTTCTGCCTCTGTCCTTGTCTAACAGTGCCCCTGTGGCACTCCCCCCCAGTGGGCGTGGCCTGGACCTTTCCCTAACCCATGATTATTCCTGCTTCAAGTCACCCAGTTACCTTGTCCTGATCCCCCAGACTGTGAGCTCCTCAAGGGCAGGGACCTTCCCTGATTCTTTCCCACATCCCTTGCAAGCGGCACGTGCACGCTTTGCATTTGGGTCCAGGTGGCTTTTGTCTGCACATCATTGTACCCTCTGAGCCCATCTCAACCAACGTATTTAACATGGCAAACTATGCTCAGATGGTAGACTGTGTCTGGACCTTGCTCCTGTGTGCTTTGACAGAGGTGCTTCATTTTATTTTTCTTTTCTTCTGAATCCCCTGTGAATGTATTGACTAGCTTCCCTCCCTCCCTCCCGCCCGCCCGCCGTTTTACACCATTGAGCTGGCGACCTAAGCAGCAGCTCCACCACCTCCCGTCAGCCAGAGCCCCCACCTGCACGTCCGCCGCCACCCTGCGTTTTGGTTGAATTTTTGTTCTTTTAAGCTTCTTCTGCGCTTCTCCATGTGCTGTGATCTATAACCTGCCTCTACTGTCTGGCCTCACAGGGTCCTCCGGGGTCACAGCCCTCGCCGCACGCACAGCCTCCACCTCACAATCCCAGCAGCATGATGGGACCCCACAGTCAGGTAAACGCACTGTGGCTCGCCCGCCCGCCGGGGGGCGCGGGGCAGGAGGAAGGAGAGAGCCCACAGAGGAAAAACAAAAATCAAAACGTGCTCCAGCCATTGCCTTCGAGTCTTTATGGACAAATTGAATTTAAAAAAAAAAAAATTTTTTTTTTTTTTCTCCTAAAGATAGTCTTCATTCCATGGACATCACACCCAGCTTGGATATGAAACCAAGAGAAAAGAAAAAATATTCTGTGACCTTGTCAGTGGCCTTTGCGTTTTTGTTTTTTCCTCTCTCACTTTTGGTTTGGTTTTTGAGTTTGGTTAACCATTCGTTTGTAGCCAAAGCTGCATCCCTAGCCTTTCTTTGTGTGCTCTCGCTGCTGAGAAAGCTTTCTCGCCCATCCCCCTGCACTGAGTTAGGGCGCCCGCGCTGTCCCCTTATCGTTTTCCATTGCGTTTCCCCCTAAACCCTCGCTCCCTTCCCATGGCTCCCTGTCAGTAGTTTCTCTGTGTATGCACATGTGTGCGCACGCGTGCGTGGCGTCCAGCTCTGTCTGCAGACCCTGAAGACGTTATGTATGAGACCTTTTCCTTACTCTTTTATTTGCCCTTACGGAGAGCAGAGGTGTCCTCCCTTGCCCCTCGTTGATTTAACTGTTCTTCATCCTGCGCAAAGTCCCAGCCGCTGCCCCTTCACCCAAAGTAGATCTCCGTGGACCAGTGCAGTGTGGGAGACATTTGTTGGTGGATCTGTTGTTTCCTCTGCCCGTGGGAAGTTTTGCCCAGAGGGAAGAGGCTACGGGGAGGAAGAGTTTAGAAGATCACTAGTTGTAACAAACTGGACTTTGTGGATTGGAGAGCATTTGTGTCTGTTGCTGTACAGTAGTGCAGGCTATCATTGAACTAATTCCCTGTAATTGCAGCCTTTTATGTCACCGCGATACGCAGGCGGCCCCAGGCCCCCGATCAGAATGGGAAACCAGGTACTGTACCTTTTCATGTTCTCTCTCCTCTCACTCAGCCATCATTGGCCTTAGGTGGACTCTGACGCAAATCAGTATTTGGGAGGAGGATTGAGGGGTAGAGGGACAGGTTTTAAGATTGGGGGTGTGGGGTGGGTTGCTTACCAACAAATCTTCTCTAGGCCCGTGATGCAGCATTTGACCTGCCTATCCTGGCGGCATCGTGTCCTAGGGTTCAGAGGGCAACAGCGTTGGCAACCTGGGAGGGATTGCAGGGTCTTGGCTCTTCTAGAGAAGGTGGTAATGCCCGTGCCCCTCCCTTCCAGCCCTTTCTTGGAAGAGGGTCTTCCTCCTTAATGAAGTTAATTGACAACGTGCATTTTTTTCCTGGAAGCTTTTGAGAATTGCCAAGGCTGGTAAATATAATCCTGCTATTAGGGGGAGAAATGGCCCATAGGAATGCTTAGATCAGGAGCCTGGGTATAGCAAAGCAGGGTATTTGGGAGTTTTTAAGAAATGTCTGCTTACTTCCTAGACTCAAAATAAGGAAGGATTTGTTCATTTAATTGGAAAAGTGGTCTGCTAACAAAGAGGTTTTTCAACCAAAAACCTGGGTCATTTGCCTTACTCTGGCCAATGCGGGTTGTCAGTTCTAGATGTTCTGGGGAAAGCCCCCTCCCTGGTTGAGCCCTTCAGGGCGGGAGGTGAGCTGAAGAGGTAAAGGCGAATAGATGATGCCTCTTTTGAACATAGTTTCTTTAAAGTTGTTTTTGTCTATCAGGGAGATAGATATCTTTTGTGCCAAAATATTTTTTAACAGAATATTTTTTCAGTGACTTTGCAAAAGTCCTTCAAAAAAAATCGGACAACAGCTCCAGCACATCCAGCGCTTGTTGCCATCGGAGCTGGGAGTTTAGTCACCAGTTACATTAGCGTATCTGAGTGGGATTCTTTCCATTCTTGAGGCCCTGCAGAAAAGCCCAAGTGAGATGATTCAGGGTGGAGAGAGACTCAAATACACAGGGGCCTCTGGTTTTAATGTGAGACTGTCTGTCAGGTTTCCACCTTTATATTTCCTTTCACAATGTCCTTTGTGTCCTGTTTTTTTCCAACATAAAGGGAACAAATTTGCACATAAGGAATTGGTGACCTAGCTCCAAAGAAGGGATCCTTAGACACATTGCAGAGTTCGGGCTCACAGTGAGCTGGGCTCCAGTATGTCCTCAACTTCCAGCCTTGTTGGTTCTACTCTGCCCCACCCACTCACTTGACTTTCATAGGTGAAAGTGGCTTCCCCTGCCTCTGTTTTGACCCAGTGTCACCAAGTGAGCTCCTTTATCATTGCACACATGGACCCCAGAGCAGCTTTCCCGCTTGCCCGCTTGGTGGCTCTCCTTGGCCAAAACTGGCCATCACCCTAGGGAGAGATCGAATACTTCCTGATGGTAATTGTGATTGTGGCCCTTCCTCCAGCCACTAAGTGATGGAGAAGGGCACGTGTGTCTATTTAGCAATTAAGCATGAGTGATCTGCACCTTGCATTGCAAACAATTTTCCCAGTCTTCCTGCCATTTCATAGGAAATTCTCAAATTTTCCAATATCCTGTGAACTCCAGAAATCTTTGTTCTTAAAGAGGAATGTGCCCTTTCCACAGGTATGGCCCCTGGGCATTTCTTGGAGAGTACCTCAGTTACTCCCCTCTCCTGCAGCCAGTGGCGGAAACAGAGGCAGGGGGACTTGCTTGGGCTCAAGGGTGGTAGGCAGGGTGATCAGGGGAACAAGAAGCCAGTGGTCGCTCACTTGGCCTTGAAGCTTTGCAAGGCCAGCCTCCCACCTGCTTCCCTGGTTAGAGGTTTGGGTCTCTATTTAGAGTGCTGCTGTTTTGCAAGCCAGGGTGGCTTGGGTAGGTGGTAAACAGAGGGGTTCAGTTAGGTTTAGTAAAGGAGGGGCTAGAATCTGAGTTGTCAGATTGCCCTTTCATATTAGACCTTCACAAAACCCCCAGACTCTGCTGGTGTCCTGGTGGGCAGGTGAGTGAACTACAGGGGCAGCTGACCATTCGTCCATTTTCTGGACAGATGCTGCCTGTGCCTCACCCTCCAGTGCCACAGAAGAGCTGGCCTACCTTCAGTAGCCTGTGTGACAGTCCCAGAGCACCTCTTTTCTCTGGGACTGAGGGGGTGTGCACAGCATGACCATAGTCCCATCTAGCAGCTGATGGTTTTCTGTTTGAGGGCCTCCGCCTTCTCAGTGTGAGACCCGTTTTCTTCAGTCATTGTACTCCTTCCTTCTCTTACAGAGGAAGCCCAGACTTTCCTCTCCCTATCACAGGGTTACCTAGTGAGGGAAGTGAGTCTCCTGGCTCTCTGAGCCCCTGGATAGCCCAGCTCTGCTCCTGGTGTCCTGACACATGCCAGGAAGAGCTTTCTGTAAGAACTGGTGGTCAGTGTGGGCCTACCTGGAGAGGGAGTGAGTACTGTCCCCTGCAGCTGCTCTATCAGGGTGGGTATGGTGTTTCTGCACTGGGTAACTCAGGACCCTGAAGGATCCCACCTGAACCTCCTAGGCTCCCCAAATCCAGACAGCCTTAGAGACAGGCCTTCCTGAGTCCTCACAGAGTCCTACAACCAGGCGGTATAAACCCTCAGCCCAGGTGAGCAGACCCAAGCCAGCCAAGTAATCCAGAGCTGGGGAACCTGGAGGTGAGGAAGCCGGGCGAAAGCCAGGGGTGGCACAGTTAAAACCCAGGACCAGGAGAGCCTCCAAGGGTCCCCAGCAGGTGGGAGTTACAGGTCCAAAAAGCCACCTTCTGAGCAGGAGGTCATACCCAGGTTCAAGGGCTTGTGTGGCTGCCCTGCCCCCAGCCACACCCCTTCCGTCTGAAGCTAGAGAAAGCAGTGAAGGTCTATTTCTTTGTTTCCGACCACCTTTTACCAAACCACTGGCGTTCACTGTTGGGCCAAAGATAGATGAGCTTCAAACTTGGCTGGCCCCACTGCGGCCACCAGGGGCAGACCCCTTGTCACAGGTGTCTCACCCTTCAGAAGCTCTGGGCCTGTAGCTGGGAAACAAGGTGCCATCACCAAAGACTTCCTCCCAAAGTCAAGAGTGTGTTCTAGAGAGGGTGCTAGAAACATGCTTCCCATGGCTCTTTTTTCAAATTGTAGCTGAAATAACTTTTGTCCCCAGCAAATTATTTTGAATAGGTTGTCACAGCAGGTGTGCCGAGCACTCCCCCAGGAATTCTGGGCACCCTGTCTCACCTCCTTGATAGCAGCTCCATCAGTGCCACCTGCCACTCCACAAACTTTGGCAAGCGGGCTCTGCTTTAGCATGCCTCGCTTCTGTGCCCACAGTCCCCTTGTCATCTTGGGGCTGGGAGACCTGGGCACTTGTCCTGGCTCTGCTGATGAATACGTGGCTGAGGGCCTCTGGGCCTCAGCTTTCCCATCTAAATCTCTAAGGTGTTTACCCCTGTTCACCTATAGAAGGGCTTCCCGTGGTGATATGGTTTTAGCCAGTGGGTCTCAGTCCCTGTAACTTGAAGCTGGGGATGAAATGAGTTGCAGCTCTGTGGGAAGACTTAACACGGCAGCTCAGGTACAGGCAACTAGAAAGGAGGGAACTCTGCTGCCCCGGGGCAGGTGGTGAGCATTGCATTCTCTGGCATGACCTGGAGAATGTTCTGCCTCATTTCAGGGATCTGGCAGGCAGCATAGGTCCTGACAGCAGGGCAGTGGTTCCTTGCCTACTGCCTAGCCCCATTCCTCCCTCCCTCCATCCCCCCACCTGGTGTCAAAACTGGAACTAAGGCTCGCTGGAGCGACTGCTTTGTGCTGGGGGACCCTTCCCAGTTGACAGGCAGCAGAAATAGTCTCAGGGAGGCTGTGAATGACCCCAGGCGGCAGGTGGGGCAGGCAGATGCATCCCCAGCATTCATCAGCTCCAGGGAGCAGCTCCTTAGCTTCTGTCTCACATGTCTTTCAGCCTCCAGGAGGAGTTCCTGGGACACAGCCATTGCTGCCCAATTCCATGGATCCCACCCGACAACAAGGTAGAGAGGGCAGGGTGGGGCAAGCAGCCTGTGGCACCACGAGGGCTCCTCCTTGCTCTGTCCTACCAATCCCTGGCTTACCTATTTTCTCTTGCAGGCCACCCCAACATGGGAGGATCAATGCAGAGAATGAACCCTCCCCGAGGCATGGGGCCTATGGGTCCTGGGCCACAGGTAACTAGCCATCTTTCTGTCCATCCATCTCCCCGGCCATCTGTGTGCACCCGCCTTCTCTCCTCTTTCCAGTCTGTCAGTCTTCCATGTCTGTGGCTCACAGGGGTAAGAGGGAAGGTGTGTCTGGGTCCCTAAGCTCCCATCCCTGCCTGTAGTGGGCTGGCCCTGCACACAGCCAGAACAGCCCCTGGGTGGCTGAGTTAAGGTACGTCTAGGGAACCTGGGGGTGGGGGACATCTGAGAAGTGACCCCAGACTCCTCTAAGGTGGGGTATCCTAGCATGGGATTGAGGGATTTGAATGGCAGAGGGTATGGTGGCCTTAGCTGTGATGGGGGCCTCCAGGAATCCCAAAGCCACCTCTTTCCCTGAGTGGGGTAGACTTGATGGCTCCAGGGGTCTCAGTGTGCTGACCCACAGGTGAGCATGTGAGTGGCTCTCCTACTTCTGGCTGCCACTCACCATTTGTCTGTCCTTGGGTGAATCATTTGTAGGCCTCAGCGTCCCCACCCTATCAAATGAGGAGTGAGTTTTTATCCGTGTTCTCTGCCATAGGAGGAGGCCAAGTTGTGCCTAACAACCACGTTAACCCCAGACCTCAGCCAGCTTCATACATCAGTTTCTGCCCAAGATTCCTTTTGACCAGGGGGCTCTATTACCAAAAATGGCAGTTTAGAAATTCCTGTAAGAAATAATTTCAAGTGCCCAGTGCACCTCTTCACAATTGTTATCCCTCTGACAGCCCCACATCCCACATGCGCGATGGTGTGACAGGCCATTCCTGCTTGGAACCTTCTCACAGTTGTTCCACTCCTCTGAGCACTTGGCTGTGACAGAGTTTGCCGTGTTCCACCCTCCCTGGGCATTCTCTGATTGCCCACAGGAACTGGAAATCTGAGTGAGAAGTGAGAGCAGGAGGTTTGGTTCTAGGGCATTCCTTCCCTGCTTTTCTGCCCTGCCTGGAAGTCTGCTTGCCTTGTCTCTCCCTCCCTTGATTGAGGTGTTTGGGGTTCCCTGGGCCCCCTCCAGGTTTCTGCCTCTCTGGCAGGTAGAGCAGTGCCCCCCCCACACACACACACCCATGCTCCCTTTCATGGGGAGATGTCTGTTCCGTCCTGGAATCACACATGCAGCAGAGGCCGCAGCCCTCTCCGTGGTAGGGGAACATCTGTGGTGTGGAAAGATTTTAGGGAGGTTCTTATCTTCTGCTGGTCCTGTAATCCTAAAAGGAAGCAAGCCCACCACAATTGCAGCCCCAGTGTTCTCGTTTAGTTCTTTCTCACATTATCCAAACTTCATGTTCTCAGCAGCTCCTTTTAAGCTCCCAGGGTGGCCCCATCCTGTCTGGCCACTGTGTGGAGCTGACCTCTGCAGGGCCATCTATGGGAGGGGTCAGAGGGTAGAGGCTAAAAGCCATGTCTCCAGAGTAAGACATGGTTCTCGATCCCCTTGGCTTGAGCCACGTAGCAGTCACTTCCTCTTGGTGTGGTATCCGCAGTGGGCTCAGATTTTCAGAATGCCATGGGAGATCTAGTCAATTCAGGAGGGTGGAGTCTGAGGAGGGAAAGGTAATCCCACCACCCACCTGTGTGGGTTCTGAGAGGCTCTGCAGCTGCATCTATAAAATGGGCATGAACCTAGTATCTGCCTATGGGGTTGCTGAAAGGAAGAGGGTCAGGGTCTTGTATGATGCATGGAACTCGGTAGCACCCCCCACCTGAGTAAGTAATTTGTTTTCCAAATTTGGGGACTTAAAACCAATGTTTGGGTGTGGTGATTACAATTAGCTTCTATTTTATTTTATCTTTTTCCTGGTGAAATCTCCAACAGTTTGTTAAGCCTGTAGTTAAGATGGAGGTTCTAGAAGCTGGAAATGTATGTATCGAGAGTGTCTGAGGCAGTGTTCCGGAAGCATAGGACTTCCTTCTCGCTTGGTGATTGTGTCATCATGTCAGTCCAACACACTTCTTTGGGCACGCCCCAAAGAGGTGAGGGTCCTAGAGGCTGAGATTTTGCTGGGGAGGCTTTCCTGGCCTCACCAGGCAGTGTGCAACATTGTGCAAGGGTTGGAGCTCCCCAAGCTCTGAGGACCATACCCTGGGAGGCTGGGGCAGGAGGATCACAAGTTCAAGGCCAGCTTGGGCAACTTAGTAAGACCCTGTGTCAAAATAAAAAGGGCTGGGGATGTAGCTTAGAGGCCCTGAATTCAGTCTCCAATGCAGAATAAAAAAGAAAGGAAGGGAGGGAGGGGGAAAAGACAGTGGAGACCCTAAAGCACTCTGCTCTTATCTCCCACCCCCACCTCTGGTAGGGTGCAGTATTAAATCCCTCACTCAGCCTGGAACATCTGCACCACATCACTGGGAGCAGGAAGTTCAGGCTCTAGGCCTGGGCAAGGATGGTGTGTTGGATGGATTAAAGGGTCTAGGGACAGCTAGAAAGTGAGCATCAGAGCTCACCTGAGCACAGCAGAACCTGGAAGCTTTGGACTCTAAGGCTGAGAGTAGAAGGCTTCCCCCCCCACCCCCAGCCCTTTCTGTCTGTCTGTCTCCTGAGAGTATTGCCTGGGCATTCCCTGTGGACAGGAGAGAGGCAAGCTCAGAACTTGGTACTAGAAAGCAGTTCTGACTGTAGCTTACCTGGGTTGAACTTATAGCCCTTTTTGTCTGCAAAACAGGCAGCCAGGCGATGACCTCCCAGGGCCTCTTGTGGGGCGGGGTGAGACAGTGGTTATGAACACCCCTATGGGGTTTTTGGATCCTTCCCCTTCCTGTAAGAACTGAGCTCTGCCTTCTGCCACAGCCCAGGCTATTAGAATGAGCAGCCAGCCCCTTCAGGCAGCCCTGAGTATGCACCCACTGCATGCACAGTGCCATGCCAGACACAGGTGGGACACCACTGGTCTATAATTCCTAGTAGGAAATTGGAATGTATTTAGCCAGTGACCCCTCCAGAAGTTTCTGAGCAGAAAACAGGTAGAGCGTGGTCATGGAGCTCCTTTGTAAATTTCAGAACTAAGCAGAGTGACAGTCCTTGTTTTGAGCTGCATCATGTTTCACCTAAACATCCCAAAGAGGCCAGCTGTCCAGGTGTTGCCCTGCCCATTGCGCTTAGGATTCAGACAAATTTTACTCTACTTTTGTAAAATGACCAGTGCCAAAAAGAAGGCAATACTTCCACCTAATCCATTTTTCTCTAAAAAATTATGTGTCAGTGTCAGGCAGTAACCTTTTGTCCCAGTGCTTCAAAATTGAATTCTCTTAGATGAGGCTAAAATTCCAGGCAGAGCTCCCGGTCAGACTCGGGTACAGAGTGTAACAAGACCCCACAGCAGACCCTGCAGATGTGATTCCCAGAGCCACTGCTCCCGCAGTGATTCTGATATTCAGGTTGAGGCTAGAATCAGATTACTTACTATCCTGGCTTTTCTGCATTTGAGAAAATTCAGATGAAGGATAATCCATGATATTTAGGGATAATACTGTGGCACCTGGAGAAACTGCATCTCTTGGCCCCTGCTGACCCAGGGCCAGTCCAAGCTCAGTGCCTCTAAGTAGGAGCCACAGAAAGCAGTGCAAAGATTAATAATCCAGGCTCAGGGCACCAGGGCTGAGTGAAAAGGGAGTGGGACCCTTGATGAACCTCCCAGTGTGGGGTGGTCTCCCTCTGCCTAGACAGCTTCTGGCCCCTCCGGCAGATGAGCCTCATGGCTAGATGGCTTTCCCTGTGTAAGGTGAAGACAGCCACGGGAAGCACTGAGGTAGAGCTCCCGTGAGGACCTGCAAGAGGCAGAGGCAGCCCCCCTCTGTGGGCCCCTGCCTGCTGCTCGGTGCCTTCCTGTGTCATTACGGACCATCAGACCTCAGAGGCTGAGACCCAAAGGGTGGGAGAGGTTTCGCTTTCTTTATGACTGTGGACCAGACCCTTCTGCCCAGGGACACCTGAGTGGGTGGAGGGCAAGGAGTGAGGGAAGACAGGCCCCCATGAACATGGCCTCCCCATCCCTGCAGAGCAGTGCTGACAGCAGATGAGGGGTGTCTCTGGTTAGTAACCAGGCCCCCCTACCTCCAGCAACCCACGTGCTGTGGGCAGGCAGGAGCCAGGAGGCAGCCCATTTCTCCCAAGTCTCTGCAACCAGGCTGCTAAGCTTCCAGCCCACTTTCACTATTGACTTACTTAGTGACCTTGATCAAGTCTCTGGCCTCTCTGGGCCTCCCAGTTGTCTTCTGTGAAGTGAGAGGTATGAGGGGCCCCCCCAAGGGTCTGCAGGGGGAAGCTCCATGGGGCCGCCTTGCTGGCCCAGCGAGGCTCCTACAGGCTGGGCAGGATTGGGAGCAGAAGGGTTGCTCCTGGAGCCCTCCAGCCAGAAGCCGTGCTGCGTGTCCAGCCATTTTTCTGGAGGGAGTGCCTGTCTGAGGCCTTTCCCATGGCTAGGAGAGGGGTGGGCTGTAGCCACAGTCCCTGGGGTTGTCACTTGACCTGGAAAACCTTTGCAGTGAGCTGGCTGTGTGCAGTGAACAGTAGGCCGCCTGACACACAGTGAGCTTCCTGTGCAGAGCAGGGGTTGAGCTTTGTGGAAGGGGGTCAGCAGCAGTCATGGGCCCTGAGAAGGGCCAGCAAGGCCGGTGCTCAGTGATGTCACGGCAGCATTGAGGCCTGTGGTGTGTGTTCTGTGGCTGCCATCCCAAATTGTCATGCATCTCCGGGGTTCACAAAGCACTTGAGAGCTGTCACTTCATGATCTTCCTAGGGCCCCATAAGGTTGCAGCTTCGTGGACTCTGTCCCCATTTTACAGATGAGGCATCACAGCTGAGTCATGGCCAAGCTATGGGGCTTCAACCTAGCTCAGCCAGGCACAGTCGAGCAAAGGGCTTCCTGTGCCTCAGACCTCAGTTTTTTAACCTCTAAAGTAGGGTAGTAAAGGAGTTGGCATGACCATTAAATGTAGATGATACACATAAAGTGCAAAGCACGGTCTGACTCCGGGAAAGCATATTTGGTGCTAAAGTCACCAGCAAGTGGCCAAGCTTGAGGCCAGCTCTCTTGTGTGCTGACCTCAAATTTCTAGCTGCAACCTACCCCCACTGACTCTAGGCCTTGCTCTGCCAGCCATCCTGGTACTGGGTACTGTCCCTGTCATTGTCTGCATCTCATCTGGGATTCTTCTAGGTTCAGGCTTTTGCAGGTGACTAGACAGCAGATGTCCCAGAGGCAGAGAGATTTGGGGAGGCGGTCCCTGGCTGAAGACCCCATCGTCAGCCTGATGTTGCTTCCAAGCTTGTCAGCTCCAGCTCAACCTCCTGTTCAGTCCCCTTCCCACCAGGAATGTGGCTAGGAATGCAGACTGAAGGCCCAGGTTGAAACCCACCTCTGCCGTTTACTGACTCTTTCTCTCTCAGACCTTCTCATCTGTACATGGGACTAATACCAGTCTCATGGGGTTACCAGGACCAAACCAGGGACGGAGAATGAAGTGTATATGTGCTTAGCGCGGGCTGCTTACGCTGGCTGCTCCTTGGCCATTGGAGTTCCACCAGCCTGCTTCTTCCAGATTCCCCTGGAGGGCAGAGCCTAAGCTGCTGCAGGGCACACTTTACTCCCACACAGTCACTCCTTCGCTCCCTCACCCATCCATCCCTTCAGTGTTGGCCAGCTACAGCATGGAGTGAGGGCTGTGGTCACTGTCCAGTGAGAAGGCGTTCAGGGTCCAGTGAGAGAGGGACGGATGCATAGCCATGGCCATAACTCAAGGTGGTGTGGCCTTTGGGGGGGTGGCGATTCTAAGGCATTCAGGGAGTAACCAGGACGGAGCAGGACCCTCAGGGGGCTGGTGGGAAGGCTTCACAGAAACACTGCTACTCGACCCAGGAAGCCTCCAAGTGGAGATGGGAGGCAGGGCAGTTATTTCTGCAAAGAAAATAGCTCTCAGAGAGGATGTCAGGCAGCACAAGTCACGAAGAGGGGAACAGGCGAGAGGCCTGGGTGGCACCTGGTCTGCCTCACTGGCTTATCCTGTGCCGAATCTGGATCCTGAGAACGTCTGAGTTTCGCATAGACTCTTCTCACACCGAGTGGTGGGGGGAGTTGCAGGCGAGCAACTTGCTTGACAGCCGCATTTTTGAAAACATTGTTAAGGCCCTGAAAACACATTTACTGTTGTGGACTGTCCCTCTGTGCTGGCTTGTCATTGTCCCCACTACTTGGTCCTCACCCTGTCCCACCTTTTTTGAAAGAATGTATTATTTTTCTCATCAGATCCTTTTCACAGACTAACCCTCTCACTTATGTTCTGTCTGTTTCCCCTCCCTCCTTCTCTCTCTGGTTCCCCTTCTCCTTCTCATAGACTGACCCTTGGTTATCATTGCAGAATTACGGCAGCGGCATGAGACCACCACCCAACTCCCTCGGCCCCGCCATGCCCGGGATTAACATGTAAGGCAAAAGGGACTTGGCCAGGGCTCAGAGCGGGGCTCTTCCCACCCTCTGCAGGCACCCTGGAAGACTCTTGTTCATAAATCATTGCTGGTACCTCTCTGGGCCTCAGCCTCCTTGTCAGTAGAATGAGGATGCTGATGACCCTGGAATGAGAGTCCAGCCTCAGGCAGCAGGCACAGTTCTGGGCATGCTCCAGGGATCGGCTCACCTAGTCTTCATGACAACCCTGCAAGGCAGTTGTTATTATCATTTGCGATGAGGTCACTGAGGCACAGAGAGGTAAAGTGACTTGCCCAGGCTCACACAACTTCTATTGGCTGAGTCAAAATTGGAACCCTTGTACAAGTAGCCACTGTTCTCTGATGCTTCAGAGATTTTTAACTTTTGTGTGAGAATCTGTGGATGATCTACCTGGGAAAATACACATGCAAAGAAAATTTCATGTATTTTATATGTGAGTTTATAAATGTAATATATTTTACAAATATCATAATTTAAAGGAGTTCATGGATTTCCACCTATGGAATTACCCATTCTTACCCCAGAGCCAGATAGCCTTTGAGGACCCTCGGACTTTATGAAGGATTTCCCATTACTAATGTCAGCCCTCTCCTGCCCCTGCTGGCTCTACCCCTAGAGTCCACAGCACTGCACTATTTTCATTGTCTCTGTCTCTCTCTCCCTCTCAGGGGCCCAGGAGCTGGCAGACCCTGGCCCAATCCCAACAGTGCTAACTCAGTGAGTATCCAGGTCGGGAAGGGTGGTGTTTGCCACAGAAGAGGTTCTGGGAGCAGAATGGCTCCAGTCCCCAAGTGGAAGTGTCAGAGGAGGGGAAAACACAGTAGAATCCCACCTGATACCTCCAAGGAGAAAGTTATGTGGAAGTCCAGTAGAAACATGCTGGGTTATCACAGACTGGCTCCTGCCCTGCCCTGCCCTGCCCTTCCCAGCCCTCTGCAGAAGCTCCCAGGTCTAAGCTGAGAACCTGGGCCCAGAGAGCATTGTTCAGAAGGAGGCCCCTGCCCATCTCCAGGAGGGTGGGCTTCCGGTGTTCAGAGGAGAGAGTGGGTAAGAAGCTCATTGCAGATAGTCCAGAGGAGAGGAAAGGAGCTGTCTCTCCTCCCTCCTACACTACAGGCCTCCTAGGCCCCTGTCCCCAACTCCTTCCTAAACTGGGGAGTAGGAGATCAGGCTCTGGGGACTGGCTCAGTGTGGCAGAGAAGCAGGTTCCACTCCCATCCCCAGGCCTCCCAGGGAAACTGACCAGGCAGCTAATTCACTGGGTCCTGAAACCTTTCTTCAGAAGAGTGGGGAATGTCCCCTAGTGGGTTTGGAAGGAAAGGGGCATTGCCTGTCTGAGGAGGTGACTCCATCACATGACTCCTCCACATCTTGTTTCCAGATTCCATATTCCTCCTCATCGCCCGGCACCTACGTGGTAAGTGTGTGTGGGCTTGGGCCCTTGCACGTCTAGTCAATGTGGCTGTGTGTGTAGGAAAGCTACTCCAGAGTCCCTGTCCACTTGTGTTCTGAGCACCAGTTCCATACTGCTAGAACTTGCTGTCAGTATTCAGGCACCTGTGCAAGCCTGGGGTGGTCTCAAAACCCTTCATCAAGACCTGGAATAGTTTCCTTCTGGGGAGCTGCCTGCTTGCTGTTGAGCTTCCCCGTGGGCCTCTGCTGTCATCAGCCGGCCTACATGTGAGCAGGTGTGCACACGTGTGTATGCCACAGGTGCTCTTGACTTGCCAAGAGGAAGCGGAGTGTCCAAACCCAGCTCCCCTTGGGCTTAAGGCTGTGGCTCCAGGTGAACACTGGAGGGTTAGCCAATGAATGCTGAGCTGCTCACTAGGAGAGCATGGTAGCCTTTTCCCACAGCTGTCCCCACTGTGGGTAACTGATATAGTTTTTATTTCATCTCAGGGACCCCCTGGTGGTGGTGGCCCTCCAGGAACACCCATCATGCCTAGTCCTGCAGGTAAGAGGGCTTGAAGGGATGGGGTCCTGGTGAGGCTGGTGGTTACTAGGGAGTCATAGAAGGCTTGGTACAGAGCCCATCTGAACAGCCACTCCTTCCTGAGCAGTGTATCTTCCACTGGGCATTGTGACACCTGGGGACCTGCGGGACTATAAGACATTAAGACCACCAACCCACTGTATGCCTGTACATGACATCTATTCCTTTTCTCTGATGCTGCTTAGTAAAGAACAAGGCCAAGCACAGAGGTCAGGAAATAGGGTCTCATTGCCCTGGTTCTCTCTTGTGAGGGAGAACCCTGTCCTGGGTAGGCATTGTTCTGGATGACTCAAAAAGGGCTTTGGGGCCTGGAGGTGTAGCTCAGTGTAGAGTGGCAGAGTGCTTGCTTAGCATGCACAAGGCCCTGGGTTCAATCCCCAGAACCACCCCCCCCCCAAAAAAAAAAAAGACTGGGGTTATGACTCAGCGGTAGAACACTTGCCTAGCACATGTGAGTTACTGGGTTCAATCCTCAGCACCACGTAAAAATAAATAAAATAAAGGTATTGTGTCCATCTACAACTTAAAAAAAATTAAAAATTAAAAAAAGAAAAGAAAAAAATGAAGAAAAGGGGTTTTAGCACTCTGGCATCCTCAGGACCAGGGTACTGAGCATGACCCCTCCAGAGTTTCCAGAGCTCTAGGTTTCTGGTCCTCTGTGTAGGAAATTTCTTCTCTGTTTTGCTTTAATCAGAAGAGGGCATGCTTGCACACACATGGATAAGTGCACACATGCATACACACAAGTGTCACAGCTTTTTCTCATCTAAGAATAGAATACCAGCCACCAACACAGTCCCTACCTGCCACAAAACAAAAAGTGAGAAAGGTGGTGAGGACATGTGCCCGAGAAATGATGCCCACTCCTGTAGAAATACATTAGTTAATTTTCTAAGGAGACGTTTGTGGCTAAGTGGGGGGACTGAGGCGACCCTCCCCCACCTGCTCCTTAGCTTCCCAAACAGGGAAGCTGCTCAGCTGCAGGGGTGGCGCTGGTGGCGGCCTGCTCCGCTCTGCTCCCTCCTCCGCTGCTGCATCTTGATGAGCTGCGTGACCTACATTCCGCTGGGTCACGTTAACCCACTCCGTGTGTTCATGTGTCTCCAGCCCCATCCCCGCCTCTCCCTCCCGCCTGCGCCCTTGGCTCTGGAGGGCGGCCCCTGGGTAATTTGCAATGTCTCCCTTTCCCTGATTTGAATTGAAGCCGCTGGGCAGGGTTGGGGGACACAGGGGTTACCTTGCTGGCGTCCCCACCTTGTCCCGGGCAGTGGGGAGATTAGGGTGGAGACTGTAACTCAAATGCCATGTCCATGCTACTGTCCAGACATTCTGAAATTCTTGGTTTCGTGGTTGAGTGGTTTTCACAGTTGAATTTTCTGTGATTAAAAACTTTGTGAATCTTCATTAAATACAAATTAGCCAGAAAATGGTGGTACTTAGAGGAAATTTTAGGTGATAAAATACAAAAGAATGAGTTCAAGTGCCATGAGTTTGTTTTAATTAAGAAATGAATTAATCACCTCGACTTGTGGGTTTCCACTGTTCTACAGATTCAACAAATTCCAGTGACAACATCTACACAATGATTAATCCGGTGCCGCCTGGAGGCAGCCGGTCCAACGTAAGTCTGCTTTCTAATAATTTACATATCAGATACCATAACAAATCATAATTAACTTCATCAGCTGAGGGGAAAGCCAGTTTAATTGATTTCAGCCATTTGTTACCAAAGATGAATAAAATAAACTGTCAGAAAAGTGATTAACTCCTGGGCACTCAGCTCCCATTCTAGCTGGCAAGGGTGGGAGAGAAGGGGCGGGGCAGTTTCTACCTCTGGTCAGTGTCGGGGCACCAGACCCTCTTGGAGGACCAGAGCTGTGTGGGGTGCCGGCAAGGAAAAGCACGAGGCTACAGGGGTCTGATCAGGTCCCTGCTCTGCTGACTGGCAGAGCCATCTGGACAATCCCCCCTGCTGTCAGGCCTCTGTCCTTAGCTGTGGAGTCAAGGATCGAGACCCTGCAGGAGCCTGTGGCTTGTGTGGGGTCCTGTCTGCCTGACCTTCCTCCCCTGAGCTCTGATCCCTGGGCCTGCAGTTCCTTCACCTTGGCTCAGGCTGTGCTCCTGGAAGCCACTCCCTTCCTCCTTCCTTAAAGTTTCCACCTTTGAACGATGGCACAGCTCTGATCCTACCTGTTCTGATTCCATCTCACAGCCTCCCTCCTGTGTTCCTAGCCCACTGACTAGGACTCTCCTGTCTGGAGAGCAACCTGGGGCCTGCACTGCCTGCCAGTGGGCTTGGGTCACATTTATCTTCACCTGGCCGAGTGGATGGAGCTCTGAGGGCACAAGTGCGTGCTCTTCGACCAAGCCCCACCCCAGCCCTGGATATGTCACGTGTTTAATCTCTGCTGCAGCCCTCTAGGTCAGGCTTTTTGGCTGGCCCCCTTTGCCCAGAGTGACTGGTCTCCCTTCTCTCCTGGGCAGCCAGCACCTTCCACTATCCCAGCTTCACTGCCACCTCCTCTCTAGAGTGACCAGTCATACAAATTTTAGCACTAAGAGCTCTGCACCCGAGAAACCCCAGGGCATGAAAAGTCCTGGGTTTTGGCATTGGATGCAGAACACTGGAGAGAGTGGGAGAGTACGGAACTCTCCAGAGGCCAGGAGACAAGATAGAGTGCTGTTTTTAAAGTCAGGTGGACATGGCATAGAACCAGGGTCACTGTCCTGTGTTTCTCCTGACCATGGATGCTGGCAGTCATGACTTGTTGGGCTGTGGCTGCAGGGTGCCACCGTCATGGGCCTCACAGAGACTGCCTCTGGCTGCTGCAGGTTTGCTCCTGTGCTCTGTGTCTACGGTGCTGGTTTCATTTGCCATTGTGAATGTTGTGACCATGTTTCTAAGAGATCATTGAAGTGAGCACGGTGACAATGCCAGCAGCAGCGTGACCCAGACAGCACTAAGGACAGCTGGATGACTATGTTTTTTTTAATAATAGGTCAAAGTTCACACAGCTGGATCAGGTGTGAGGAATGCAAATGGGACCCACTGCACAATGTACAGAAAAGAATTTGGGCTTGGGCGTGGCAGGGAGAGGGATGTGGAAGCACAGTGGAGGCTGGATCCCCCCGGTGTGGGATGAAGGCACATCCTTCTAAATCAAAAGTTTCTTTTATCCTCCAAAGAGACACCAATACATAGTCAAAAATAGCGGTTGCTGAATTAGCTTGGGCATACCCTGGAATGAACACCATTATCATCTCATTCCCTTGATTGCACTGTGAACCAAGAAGGTTACGGTTCCTGATTCAGAGGTTGCAACTAAAAGTTATATCTGTGAACAACAGGGAGGGGGAATTTTGACAACAGAGCACTGGCCCCTTGAGTGGAGCTGATTCTGTCTGGGCTTACTAACAGCTGCGGCTCTTTGCAGCGTATCAAGTGATTCCTTAAATCATAGCAACAAAAATCACTTCCTGACTGAGTGGGCATGTGGCCCAGTGGTGAGCACTCGCTAGCACTCCAGGCCCTGAGTTTGGTCCCCAGCTCTAAAAACAAACAAAAAACCCCAAGTTCCTGCTAGTTCTTACATGTGTTAATTTGAAAACTAGAGTTTTAAAATGACTTGATTTTAATGAATATGCAGAAAAAAGAAGATTATTGTTCTCTTGTCCATATACAAACTAGACTTGGCTTCTTTGTCTGCATATTCAGCAAAGAATACACAATTAATGTTGGCAAATTTTATTCCGTCTATAAGCTTTTCACCAAAGAAGTGAATATCTTACCTGGAGACCGTCCTGCACACCTGGCCCCCACCACTGCCGCAAAGGGGTATGCTTTGCCCACCGGGGATACGGGCTTTCATAATGAAAGCTCTTGGTCACTTTTTAATTTCTTCAAAGCATGCAGATGTTCAACTTGTAGAAACGGAAAATGCCTCAAACACATGCCCACAAGGTGACAGTAACTGTTCACGGCCATAGAAAGGGCATTGCCCAAAACTCAATTTTTAAGCCACGAAACGAGAAGGATGTGCATCTCTAATGTGGAAATCCATTGAGTTGAAAATGGAAACAGGAATTGCACCAAGAGAGGGGTGCGCTGTTCCTCCAGGACCATGCGATCATCTCAAAAAGAGGCCATGAGGAACCCAGGGGTCTGAGCCAAGCATACCTGGATTGTTTCGTGTCATGTGGAGGTTGCAGCAAAACCTCATGCCACAGAAACAATGACTCATTTTTTCAAAAATGAGCTGCTTGAGAACAGTCAAAAAGTGTCACGAGAAAGAGCAACCAAGTTAAACAGGACTTTTTCAGCTTATTAAAACTTACTTGAAATACAACTTGTATCTTACAAGTTCAAATCACCTCTCGGCTTCAGAGACCTTTTTTCCTCAGAAAAAGAGCTTTCATTCACAATGACGTCCACCTCATGTGTGCTTCGTGGTGTTTGCAAATGCTGGACATTGCCGCTGGGGATAGCCCATCTTCTGAATTAGCAGCTGATCCAAAGCCAGCCTGCAGACACGAAGTGGTGTTCATCTTGAGGAACTAGAGGTTGCTCCTACAAGTCCACAGACCTGTGCTAATAGTGAAGTCATAAGTGCTTGGTATGTGAGTGAGTTTGTGGAGGAGATAGTTCAGTGTCGTGCTGGACTGATACGGGATCAGTGTAACATGGTCTTGATAAGAGCACAATGGCAAAGCCAGTGAATTTTGTCTTACTATATTCAGTTTTACCACTACATTAAAAAAAAACACAACACGGTGGCCCATGCCTGTAATCCCAACAACTTTGGAGGCTGAGGCAGGAGAATCACAAGTTCAAGACCAGCCTCAGGAACTTACTGAGGCCCTAAGCAAATTAGTGAGATCCTGTCTCAACATAAAAAATATAGAGGACTGCGGCCGTGGCTCAGTGGTTAAGCGCCCCTGGGTTCAATCCCTGGTACCCATAAAAAAGGGAAGAAAAGAAGAACATGCTGGGCACGATGGCGCACACCTGCAACCCCGCAACACTGCGGCTGAGGTGGGGGAAATTTGAGTTTAAGGCCAACATCAGCAATTTAGCGAGTCACTGTCTCAAATTTCTAAAAAGTAAATAAATAGGGCTGGGGATATAGCTCAGTGGTAAAGTGCCACTTGGTTCAACCCACAGTACTGCAAACAACAACAAAAATCCTAACTTTCAGACAAGAAACGCTGGGAAAGGAAGCAGAGCAAAAACGCCCTACCCTGTCAAGGGCCAGAAGGAGCAGTTACATTATTGACTGTGTCTGAGGACAGAAACAAAAATGTTATGCTTCTCACATTTCTCATTGGTGAACCAGTTCTCTGCGCTGATGGCTACTGTTAACTAGTCTTATTGTTCTGTGTTGGTAGCATTTATGTAATAGAAAAGCAAATAGTGCAGAATAAATAAATGGGAGAACTGAAGATGAAGACCAGTGAGGCTGGATTATTTCCTTACACATGTGCACAAAAATAAGCTCAGAGTTGATCACATACTGAATATCAGTGAGCTAAAACATTTAGAAGAAAATACAGGAGTAAATCCAGTGACCTGAGTGAAGTAAAGCCTTCTTGGATACAACACTAAAGCACAAGCAATAAGACAAAAACAAATGGATAAATTCAGGTTCTTTTGTTGTTGTTGTTTTTGGTTTTTGGGGTTTTTTTGTTTTGTTTTTTCTTCAAAGGAAACCATCAAGAAAGTTAAATGGGACACTGTGGCACATGCCTGTAGTACCAGTTACTCCGGAAGCTGAAGCAGGATCACTTGAGCACAGGAGTTTGAAGCTATCCTGGAAACATGGTGAAACCCTGTTTCAAAAGAAAAAGAAAAGTTAAACAGACAACTCCCAGGATAGAGAATTTGCAGCTCGTACATCTATAAGAGACTTGAATGAAATTTATATGAAGAACTCTTGCAGCTCAATAATAAAAAGACAACTGAATTAAAAATGGGACAAAGATGTAAATAGACATTTTCTTCAGAGAAGTACAAGTAGCCATAAGCACAGGAAAAGATCCTAACATCATTAGTCATTAGGAAATGCGAGTTAAGACACAAGTTACTCTTCAGACCCACGAGGGTCTCTGTAGTTAAAAAGGTAGAGACTGGTGCTTGGGAGGATCTGAAGATCTCCTGCACTGCTGCTGGTGGGAATGTCGAGTGGTGTGGCCGCTGAGGAGTAGTCTGACTGTCCCTAGAACACTTAGACATAGTTACCTGTAGTTACCTGAGCCAGCAGTCCTACTCCTGTGTATCTAAGAGGTGAAAACATGTATCCACATGATAATTTTCACAGAGATAAATGTAGTAGCACTAGTGTTAGTAGCCAAAAGTAGAAACAGCCCGAATGAACCATCAGCTGGTGAATGGATAGGTAAAATGTGGCATAGGCATACAATGGACATTTATTTTCCGTAAGATGGAATAAAGTACTGGTTCACGCAGCAACACGGATGAATCATGAAAACATGATAAGTCAAAAAAAAAAAAATCGGCCATGAAAGGTCATAACAATCTGTATACAGCATCCAGAATAGAGACAAAATAAATAAATGGTTGCCCAAGGCTGGGGACCAGAAAGGACCAAGGAGTGACTGCTAATAGGTATAGAATTTCTTTCTGGGTGAAAGAAAGGTGGTAAAGTTGGTTGTGATAGTTGCGTAACCCTGTGAACAGAATAAAAACCACTGAACTGTCCTCTTTAAATGGGTCAGTTGTATGCATCTGAATATCTCAGTGAAGCTGTTAAGTAATACACGAAAAATACACAGTGACATAAATTTTCAAGTCAAAACCTAATTTTTATATATTTACATTAAAGTAAGACCACGTATGAATGAGGACACATTGTTAGCATGTTTTGGGGGGCAGTGTTTGCCCTGGTTAGCTTCCTGAAAGTCGGTTGCCCTCATCCTCCTATCAGTTTTGCTGATCAGGATGAGTTTTTTGTCAGAAGGCAAAATATGCGCAGGAGCCGGGTTAAAGGCAGGGACTGTGTGGCCCAGGAAGAGTGGCTCGGCCCACCCGCAGTGAGTGGGCCGTTCTCCCACCGGCTCTGCTCTGGCACTCCGCCCTGCTATCCTCTACGTGGACTTTCGCTCACACAGGACCCCTACAGCAGCTTCTATGCCTGCTCTCTTGCCCAAATTTCTACCTTTTCATTATTTCTGTGTCCCCCACACAGCCTGTTCTCGTGTCACTGCCTTTGTCTGTAACTGCACTGTATCTGCAGCTGTCTTTGGAACTCTGCCCTCTGCCCTGTGGGCTCCTCCTCCCAGCCAAGGTGCAGGTGTGACTCAGCTTTGCGTCCTCAGCACTTGCTCAGGCCAGGTCCAGCAGCCCTCTTCCACACGTCCACCTCTTCTACCCGACATCCAGTCTGCCTCACGGGACCTTGGCCCTCCAGACTGGGCTCAGCCATCCCTCCCCAGACTTGTGAATTGTGGCCATGGGTGTGACCTCCCTGGACTTTGCCTTCTTTCTGAGATGGTTTTGGTGGTTCCAGACTACCCTAAGGATGGGGTCAAAGTGATTCCCTCTGATGCTGGATCTGCCTGCACCATCAGCTGTGTGGAAGCCTCACATGTGCCCTGCTTCCTGTGTAGCCACTCAGCAGACCAGTCTCCTCCGCTGCCTGAGGAGCCCACATCTGAGCAGGGGCTTGGAGAAGGCTTGTGTGACAGCCCAGGGGCAGGCTGCCAGGCTCCATTCTTAACCTCTGGCCTTGGAGACCCCAGGCAAAGCACTTCCTGTGCTCTACTTCAGTGTTGTTTTTTTTTTGTTTGTTTTAATCTGTAGACTACATATGAAAAGCACAAATAGTTTTGATTCTTGGGCCGATGTGGTCAGTCTTCTAGGTGCAGCTGTGACTGGTAAGGCTGGCACTATACCCCAGGGATAGAATAGTCCCTATGATGGGACCCAGGAGCCCGTGATTGCTGGCTCTGTGTAGCCATAAGCAGGTCTCTTTTCCCTCTCTGGGTTCATTCCCTTACCTGGTACATGGCAACAAGGAGAGCCCACCAGAATAGAGGTTCCCCAAGGCAGGAGCCTGTGCAGCTATGGGCCTTTGGAGTTGTTGGCTAACTTTGTTGACCAACTGGCTGGTCACAGGGCCCCCTGAGGGGAGCAGAGGGCCCTAGGCCCACTGAACTGTTGTCTGTGCTTCTCCTTCAGTTCCCCATGGGTCCTGGCTCAGACGGCCCGATGGGAGGCATGGGCGGGATGGAGCCACACCACATGAATGGATCCTTAGGTAAGCTGGCACCCGCTCCCTGGCCTGCCCTCCCTTCCCTGGACAGCTTACCCTTTTCCTCAGCTGGCTCAGCTTGGCCTGGTACACAGCCTAGGCCATGTCTGGGGACCCAGAAAATTCTCTGCATGAAAGTAGCTTGGGGTTGGGGTGGATGGGCTTCAGAGCTCAGGGAGGGAGGTCTCAGGTAGTGGAGCCCCCTCCCCCACCACCATGTGAGCAGGAAACTGAATTGCATTCTTTTTTCCTTCCAGGGTCAGGCGACATAGATGGACTTCCAAAAGTGAGTGTGCGTTCATTGTGTCCTCCCTGATGGTACCCATCCCTGAGGGCAGGTTGTTGGGGATAGGCTCACCTCCTCTCCTCTCTCCACAGAATTCTCCTAACAACATAAGTGGCATTAGCAACCCTCCAGGCACCCCGCGAGACGATGGCGAGCTGGGAGGGAACTTCCTCCACTCCTTCCAGAATGACAATGTAAGCTCCACTCCTCTAACCCCAGGGCCCTTCTCTTGACCCTATGCCTGGGAACTCTCTAGCTAGCTGTGGGGTCTGTACAGGCCATATGCAGGCTGGACACCTGTGGCACTGATCAGCTGATTCAGCTGAGAAAGCCCTGGGCACAGATCGAGAGGCAGCACTGCCCCCGGGAGAGGGTTCTTGCAGCCGTCAGGGCCAGCCTTCCACTCTCCCTAGTGGACGTCCGTCTACGCTTCCATTTGAAGAAAGCAACTTTTGAGAAGCCCAGACTGGCCCCCACCCCAGGGCACCCTCACAGAGCTCTGGCTCTCTAAATTCCCGGCAGTCCCAATTTCCAAAACGGGGCGATTCACAGAGGGGAAGGAACAGGAAGGCTGCCCTCACAGAGATGCCGGCTGGTCCGAGAGGTGGCCCTCAGCTCCACTTCCTTGCCCTCACCTGGCTCTGCTAGCTCCCAGCCCTGTCGCCCCTGGCCTGGCCCTGTTCAGCTCTGAGCCACCCAACCTCCACAGCTATGGTCTCCTGGTGTTGTCCACCACCTCCCCGTACCTCAGCCCTGACAGCGTCCCCTCTGCTCTGCCCTTGCAGTATTCTCCAAGCATGACGATGAGTGTGTGATCCCCCCCCTTCTCCAAGACGCTGAGAGAGCCGGCATTGCAGGCAGGAAGATGCCAGACATTATGCAAGAAGAAGTGAGGTGTCGTTACCAGGAGCTGGCGGGGGTCTCCCCGCTCCCCATAAACCTACCCCCACCTTTTCCCATTTTTAGTTTCATGCAATAAAAAGGCCGAACTTTTTATTCCATAAAACATGAAGGACAAAACTCAAAAGTAAAAATATATTTCAAATCAGTGACCAGAAAAATTCTACTCCTTGCTACTTCCCAAAAGGACCTTTTCTGTACATGACACTTTTTTTTTTTGTCTTTTGTTTTTGTTTGTTTGTTTGAGATTTCATCATTGCTGGGATTTTTTAAAATTTGTTTTCAGGGGTTGGGGGCATTTTTTTTTTTTTTAATGGAAGCTTCTAGCAAGCCCCCAGCCCCACCCCAATCAACCTCTTTGCTTTCTTCTTAAAAAAAATGAAAATGAAAAAAAGTTTAAAAAAAAAAAACAAGAAAAAGAAAAAACCACAAGCCCTGCAGTCTGTCTGTCCCCAAGCCCTTTTACCAGGAAAGCTAGTCTAGGTGTGACATGTCACACTGTCTCTGTAGCCATCTAAAAATAATAATAATAAACTGGACAGTTTACAATCGGTGGTTTCTTTCAAAAAGCCGTTTTTGGAAAGAAGAAAAGAAGTCACCCTTTACCACTGGGGGTTTGTTTGGGGAGGGGGGGACCTGCTTTGTTTTGGGCATGGTTGGCAACAGCAGCACTCCTAGACCCCCAAACCCACCCATCGCGTGGCCAGAGGGGCCAGACCATCCGACCCCCTTCCAGGATTCCCCATGGCCGAGACCGTCGCTGTGACCCGGCGCCTGCACTGTGTTCCCAGGACTGCTTCCTCTCCTGGACCTCTCCAGCCCCTCCTCAGCCCCCACCCGTCCTCCCAGCGAGAGTCCTGCCCACTGGGTGGCGGCCTGCAGCAGCGTAGGGGAGGCCACCGCTGCCAGGATGGCTATGACCTGGGGCGTGGAAACTGACCTCGTGTTCCGCCCGAGATCCTCACGTCCTCGTCCCATGTCCCGTGCACGGGCAGGGTGGCTGGAGTTTTGGTTTTCTTTTTCTCTATTCATCCTTCGTTTTCAAAGATGGAATATTGACCCGAATTGCTCTGTATGTGCTTGGAACTGGATGGAAAGACTTTGGCATTGCTGGGGGGTGGGGGGAGAACCAACAACCAAACAGACGCGCTGTTTCCGGTCCTGTTTTTATTTTCAAAAACCGACAAACCCGATGTGGAGCCTGTCCCCTCCTAGGAGGGGTGACTCATGGCCTCCCTCACCTCACCCCCATGGAAACCTTTGTGTCTTGCCCTGGAAGACACCCAATTCTTTGTACATTTACACTCCCTTCTCCTGCCCCCTCCCTCCCCCGTAGCTGGTCTTTGTTTTATTACCCCCCTTTCTGATCCATGTATATCATATTATGTGAGATACCATCTGCCTGAAAAAAGACCTTGTGCGGATTATTGGGAACATTGTAGCTGTTGCTGTGTTTTTTCTTACCTTGTAGTCTGGTTCTGAATTACGAGAGGAAAAAAAAAAAAAGTAATTATGATACATTGTAGTTTGTGTACGATATATGTTGATAACGTTTTATTAAAGGGACATCTTTTTTCCGCAGCAGCCCTTCCTGACATGTTTGGGGGAACGTGGGTTGGAGTTTATTACACTGATTACAAAATGCAAGGTGACTCCTTGGGCGCAGAGTTTTTGTTCCGGAACGTAATTGTTTTGTGTCGAAGGCCTCTACCTTCTCTTTCAGTGGCAACTTTGTTCTGCATTTTTGTTTTTGGGGGGTTTTTTGCAGTGAGGATGGAACCCAAGGATACTTAACCCCTGAGCCACATCCCCATCCCTTCTTTGTTATTGTTTTTTGTTTGTTTTGAGACAGGGTCTCACTAAGTTGCATAGGGCCTTATTAAATTGCTGAGGCTGGCTTTGAACTTGTGATCCTCCTGCCTCAGCCTCCCAAGTTGCTGGGATTATGGGCATGCACCATCACATGCGGCTCTGCGGCTCTGTTCTGGGTTTTTGAGGAGAGTTGCAGTGGCCTTTGGGAAAGAAGCCTGGGAGAAAAGCATCTCCCTTCAAATATCTGGGGAACTGTGGAGAGCTAGCGTCAGGGCCTCCTGCTGCAGACACTTTGCAGGTCACTATAATGTCTTCCTGCTTCTGAAGGTAGAGAAAGGCCCTTATCCCTGTATGTCTGTAGGTCAGCAGCCAGGAGGGCCCTGTGACTGCAGCCACACCTGCCTTCTCCCCTCCAGTAGCCGACCTTGCTCTGCCAAAGGCTCCCAGGCCTCATGTGTTCGGGACTGCAGAGTTGACCTGGGAATCCTTAGGTGTAGGGCTACTGAGAGGTTGACTTTTTTTTTTTTTTAACCCTCCAAGGCGATAAGGAGACCTTGAAGGATTTTTAGAGTAGCATAAATAGCATAAACTGTCCAGAATTTTAGAGGACTTACCAGATCGATCTGGACGGGATGTGGGGCCAGCCATTACGTAGTTAAGACATGCCGAGGGCTGGGGGGAGAGCAGCAGGGGACGCTGATTTGAGAAAGAGCTGGAGCTCTGGGGGCTTCCACCCAGGCCTGCAGCGCAGTGGCAGGGGAGGCGGTGCCCAAGCAAAGCGTAGGCTGAGTCCACATTTACTGGGATCTCATGGGACCACACTGCAAATAGCCAGGCACAAATCTTGTCTTTGCACTACTCGCTGTGTGACCATAGGCAGGCCTCTGTGCCCGGTGTCATAAAATGGGGATAATGGTTTACCTTCCTAACAGGGTTGTGAGAGTAGTCAACATTGTAAACAAAAAGTGCCTACAAAAAGCACAACAGTGCCTCCTGGGTAATAGGAGCAGGATGTGTTGGCCACGGTTGTACTGGGGAGGCTCCAAATGGTGGGATGGGGAAAAGCGGGGGGGACCTAGATGATTCCATTTGGCCCTTGCCTCCTCACCTTGAAACAAGGTTTCCCGGGCTTTTCCTCGGCAGACACCTTGCTGCTGTTGGGGAGAGAGAGACTTTCCTGTGGACACATGAGATTTGGGCTGTGACTGGCCTGAACAGGGTTTTGCTGCCACCTGTGTACCCTGGAGCAGTGTTCTGCAGACAGGCGCCATGGTGGGGGCACTAAGGAGACAAGAACCCACCGCCCACCTCTGCCTGGGGGAGGGAGATGACAACACACTTCCCACCATCTCACGGCCTGCCCCCTCCCCAAGCAGTCCCCATAGTCCATGTCACAACACAAACCACCCTGTGAGGGTCAGTTCAGGGTGGCTACCTCAGGGCCCAGTCCTCGAAGAAAGGACTGGTCCTTGTTCACCAGTGCTTCACTGCCCTGCCCTGCCCAGCCCAGGCCAGAGCTTTGCACCGAGCCACTGAGGATCCTGAAGGAAGGCAGTGAGGAGCTGATCCGACCTCCCCAGGAGGCTCCAGCTCATCATGGGAAGGGCAGGAAATGAGCCAGGACTGAGGCTCTGGTTGGCACAGCCACTGCCTTCCTGCTAGCTCTCGCTACCCACAGGCACCCAATTCTAGTGGGCAGTCAGACTGGCCAGGCTGGAGGCCCACAATGCATTCCTTCCCTCTCCCTGCTGGATACCCCTCCCCCAAAACAGCAGCACCACCAGCCTTCATGCCAGAAAAGCAGCCCAGAGGCAAATCAGAGGGGACAGCCAGAGCAGGACTTCCACTGGGGCTGTGGCCGTCAGCCTGAGGAACCCCACCCAGCCTCTGGTGTCCTTGAAGTGTGTTGGGGGGGGGGGGGCAGGAAACTCCCAAGATCCCACAGACTCCAGGAGATAGAGCCCAAAGCACCCCTGGGTGGTGCAGGTTCTGGCCCTGAATCAATGGAGTTGGGCCTTGTGGGGCTTAGGCCTGGCTCCAGACCTGTCTGCCGAGCTGGGGCTCCCCCAGGGCTGGGGTGTAGGAGCTGGGCAGGGAAGGATAAAGGACTAGAGGCACTGAACCCTACTCTGCGCAGCCCTGGGCTCACTGGATACAGGCACTGGGGGCTTAGTGTTGGGGTTGGAGAAAAAAACAGACATCGAGGGTGGGGCCGGCAGGGTGCTGAAGGAAGGGGGTCCATTCTGTCCTCTGCTGTTGCTTCCTCCTGTCCATTTCCAGAATGCGATGGAGTCCCGGTCCTGGCAGCTGGTATCTAGGCCTGGCTTCCTTGCCTCCATCCCAGCCCTTCTGATGCCATGGAGTTCTGGTGGCTCTGAGTCTGCGCAGGCTCTTCTTTCATCCATTCATCACGTTTCCTGAAGCAGAGACGGTTCTAGCGCTAGGGAAACAGTAGCGCAGACCTGGAGGGCTGGCAGTGCCCTTCGCAGAGGGGGTCAGGCAGCAGGAAGAGCTGTTTGGGTGAGTTAAACTGAGGTGCTGATACAACATCCAGTGAAGAGGGCAGGTGGGCAGGGCTCGGGGAGACGCTCGGGAGCCATTGGCATCTGAATGAAACTGGTAGTAGGAGTCAGGCTGAGATTATCTGAGCAGTGAATGGAGAAGCAAGCCTGGGCCCTGGTGTATCATGTGTCCATGATCGGAAATCTGGGAAAACCGCAGGGACCAGCTAAGGAGGCAGAGACGTGAGGAGGAGAGCAGGAGTGAGGTGCCCCAGGGCCAAGTGAAGGAAAATGGTGCCAGGGCACATGTCTCAGGCTGTGGGAGGCCCTGATGTGACACCCACCAGGGCCTTGGAGCCTGGCACACTTCCTATCTTTTGGCCCCTGCAGGGACAGCTCCACAGGCTCTCCTGCCCTTCACAGCCCTCTGCATGTCATCCCCCAGTTACATAGAGGTTTTGCCCACTCAGAGCCTTCATCCTCACCGTGCCCTCCCTGCATGGACCTCTTCAACTTACCCTGGAGAACCTCACTCAAACGGCCCCTCTGCCAGGAAGCCTCCTGGGCTGGCCAGCTCTCTGGATCCAGGGTCCCTGTGCAGTAATGGTTTATCTGTGCTTGCCTCCTCCAAGCCGGGGACTGCCTGTCATTTGTCCTCGGAATCACTCAGCACAGGGCCTGGCTCCTGGTAGGTACTTAGTGAGTGTTTGTGGAATAATGATTGCTGGGTACTCACCCTGGTGCTCAGTGGCACACCCCCGCATTGCACACTGTCATGGGCCGGTGCTCAGGTGTGGGAAGAGCCTTCATTGGTACCTGCTACCACAGACCCAAAGAGACTGGGGTCTTCTGGGGGAAGAGAGCATGTCTCTCTCATTCTTTAGATTCTCATCCCTAGATCCCGAGCACAACACCTGGCAGACAGTAGGTACTTCTAAAATGATCTGAATGGTCCAGCTGCCCCCAGGAGGTCTGTAGTAGAGACCTACAGACCTACAGGGCTGGGTCCTCAGTAGTGACCTATTCTTAGGTTCCATCATTAGCCTAGCTGGAAGTGAGGAGAACCCTGGGTCATATGTCTGTGTGTGTTGGAGGTGAAGGGATGTAGCAGCTGTTGGGGGTGGGGCTCTGAAGTTGTTGACAGGCTGGACTTGGACTTCAAGGGATGGAGGTCCTGCCTTGGGCTGCAAGCCCACTCCCCTGGATGAAGGCACTGGGTATGGGGAGATGTGGCCTGAGGTGTCTGGCATGGGACAGAGGGTATCAGGGGGCAATAACCTGGTGGAGTGTTCAGGAAAGGAGCTAGCTTTGCTCCACCTGCCATTCTTGGCCCATTAAAAAATGGGTCCCCTGGGCCCTGCTTATGTGATGTAGCCTGGATCAGGTGGCTGAGGCAAGCCATGGATAGAGAAGTGGGATGGAGGTCAACGGGAAGTAGACACTGGGTTATTTGATTCTAAGTCACATAATCCCCAGCCTCCAGTCTTATAAGGAAGTCTCCTGACTGGGAGGATGCAGAGCTGGGGTCCTGGAGTTGATGCTGCAGGAGGGCATTCTTCCTGAGATGTGAGAACACTTAGCAGCCAAAGCTGTCCAAGAGTGAGAGGTAGTGAGTTCCCCAGCTCTGGAAGTGTGTAAGCCAGCTGGAGTGGAGGAGAGAGAGTTGCATGTGTTGGGTGGGGTGTTGGTTCCTGGGATCCCAGGTCAATGACAGAGGGAAAGAAAAGCAGGAATTGGGGACAGGACTGGAATTAGAACCAGCTCACTCTGACCTCAGACAGGCCTCTCCCTGCTTGGGTGAACTGCCACTTCTAAAAGAGGTCCCCATAGATGAATTCTTCCTTTTGCCCAAGACCACCCTGGAGGCAGCTCTGCATATAACACAGAGAACAGAGGGCCGGTATCTCCGTAGGTGTAGTAAGGCAAGGGGACAAGGGTTCCCATGGTGCAGGCTGAGCTCCAGTGGTGGCCTCTCTGGTCCCTCCACTGTCCCAAAACCATGTCTGTCTCAGAGCCATAACACTGTCTGAGTTACCTTCCCAGCCTGCTCCCTTCCTATAGATTAGTACCTGAATGTCGGTGGCTCACAGAGGCCCTCACCCCGACCTTGGTTACCCAGTGCAACGCCCCTTGTCCTGCAGGGGAGGGGCCAGCATGCTCTTCCCAGCTGCCGATGGCTCAGAGCTGTGCCCCTTCTGGGAACTGCCTCCTTCAAGGGCTTCACCTCCTCCAGGCAGTGCCCAGTGCCCAGTGGCTGGTGTGCTTCAA